GTAAAGAGCTGTTTATATATGCACACACGTAAGTGTAAGCATAGGTGTATACATGAGTTTGCATACATAGGTGACCATACATGTGTAGTATGTATTTACATATTTTTATTTATATTTCATACAATGCCCCAAAAGGATTTGGGGTATTCAGCTCATTACCTAAAGTTTCATCCTGAACTAAAAATAAAAATAGCTGATATGCATGGAAGAATCAGAACATACCTAAGGATACAAAGTGGAGTGGGGAAAGGGGGATGGGGGGGTCAGAGATAACTGGGGGGATAGTGTGATACACCACATCAATGGAATGAAGGACAAAACCTGAATGATCATCTCAATAGACACAGAAGAAGCATTTGACGAAATTCAAAATCCTGTCATGATAAAAGCTCTCAACAAAGTAGAAGGAATTAGAAGGAATTTACATCAACAAAATAAAGGCCACATATGATAAGCCCAGAGCTAACATCATACTCAATGGTGGAAACTTAAAAGCATTTTCTCCAAAATATTTGCACTCCCATGTTTATTGCAGCACTATTCAAAATAGCCAAGATAGGGAATCAATCTAAGTGTCCATCAAGGGGCTGGCCTGTGACTCACTTGGGAGTGTGGGGTGCTGAAAACACCAAGGCCATGGGTTCAGATCACTATATAGGGTTGGCTGGTTAGCTCACCTGGGAGAGTGTGATGCTGACAACACCAAATCAAGGGTTAAGATCCCCTTACTGGTCATCTTTTTAAAAAAAAAAAAAAAAAAAGAACCTTCCAGTAATAGACATATGAACTCTAATTCAAGGGGTGGGGAGATCTAATGTCCGCATACTTCAAGACATTATAACACTCAAATAAAATGATATGGACACCAAAAATTGCACATTTACACCAAAGAATTACTGAAAGAAAAAAAAAGCATGCCTTCAAAAAGCACATCTTACTCTAACATAAATAACGACATCCCAGAGTCCCTTGAGTAGTTTTATTTCTTTGCGACACTGCTTCATCTGCTTGTACTCTGGTAGAGCCACTTCAAAAAGACGAGCAGATTCTTGCATCTGCAACATTTCTTCTTCTAATGCCTCAAGCTCTTGATTTGTCTAAGGAGAGAACATACACACCTGCATACAAACTACCAGAGAGAGAGAAGCCACATAGTTCTGTAGCTCTGGTTATTTCAACAGTTCAAACTTTGATTTAAAGATTTAAAAAAGAAAATAAAAAGAAATGTACAGTGTAATTATTGGTAAAAATGTAGAAGGTGTTACATGAGCAAACTCACAGCTACTCAAAACGTGAGAGTAGACTGTTAATGAATACAATAATGTTACCAATATTCTCCGTATGTACATATTTCAGCAAGATTTCCATGAGTATCTATGAATGCAATTTTTCCTCTTGATTTTCAATGTATAGCTGGGAGCAAAAGGTGAGGTTCTAGAAACTTCCATGTAAAAATAAATTACTAATGACTTAGTTAAAAAAAAAAGGAACTTTCAGATTTAAAAAATACCTAGAGGTTATTAATAGCATAAAATGCACTCAAGAGAATTTGTAAAATAAAACACTGGAGCTAGTCACAGCCTGGTATGGAAATTTCACCATATAATTATTTTTACCAAGGCTCACCTATCACCCCACCTATCACCCCAACCCAAAAAATTGACTATTTTTTTTCTTTCTTGATGGACTAACTCTTAGTGTTAGTTTAACAAAGTTGTATATTTACATGGGAAAAGTTTAAGGAGCACGCAAGAGCTGGTAGGGCAGGGAGACCATCTCCCAGGTTCACTCTGCAGTGCTATTTCTGTAATTCTCAATTCTGTTCTTAAGCCGCTCTTTGTTAACTGATCAAGTTTAGACATTACACTAGGTTACCACCTTTGCAATACATGGATTTGACTTTGTTTTTCCCTTTTATATTTACTCCCATCCTCCTCCCAATATCCAACAATTATAGTACTTTAGCTCTTTTGATTTTCTTTTTAACTTTAAACACCCGTACTTAATCCTTTTGTATTCCATCAACTTTCAACTGTCTTTTTTTAATTGACAAACAAAAATCATATATTTTTATGTACAACATGATGTTTTGAAATATGTAAACATTGTGGAATGACTCAGACAAGCTAATTAACATATGCATCACCTTACATACCTCATTACCTCACATTCTTTGTGGTGAGAACACATAAAATCTACTTCTAGCAATTTTCAAAATATAACACTTTGTTATTAACTACAGTCACCATGTTGTGCAATAAATAGATCTTTTGAACTTGTTCCTTCTATCTAACTGAAATTTTGTATCCTTTGACCGACATCTCTCCAAGCCCAACTGTCTCTATGTAAACAAGAACATTAGCACTATGTAAACAAGAACATTAGCACTCTGCTTTTATTTTTATGTTATACCCTTACAAACAAGAACTGCAATTCTTTGACTTAGTTTTACAGATGTTTTATTCTGAAAAATTTCAAACATGTGAAAGGATATACATATACACACACAACTCACATGTGTGCACCCCATCCAGTTTAGGAAATACCACTAACAACCTTTAATGCCTTTCTCGATTTTATCCCTCTCCCTCCTACAAATTTAACCACCAAACCTACATTTTTACTTAGTAGTCTCCTGATTTTTACATTTTCAACACATATGTATGTATTGCTAAGTGCTAAAATGTTAAAATTTATGTTTTTAAAATATATAGTTTTATACTGCATATATATTAAGACATTTCAATTACCATTCTTGAGGTACACCTATATATTCATGATGATGTGTGTGAAGTTCATGCATCTCCACTACTGTATGCTACCACGTTGTCTGAACATACTACAATTTATTTATTTATTTATTTTTTATTTTATTTTTTCCTTTTTGTCTTTTTTCGTGACCGGCAACGGATCGCAACCCTCAGTGTCGCGCCCGTACCGGACCGGGACCAGCCACGGGATCGCAACCCTCGGTGTTGCTCCCGCCCCTCACTCAGCTAGTGAGCAGCCGGTCTGTATGTGGGATCCAAACCCTCGGTGGGAGCGCCACCGTGCTTCCCAAGCGGCGCACTATAGCAGTGCGCCACCGGGCCGGCCCTGAACATACTACAATTTATTTACTCCTCTTCTGATGGTCTTTTAGGCTTTTCCTGTATTTCACCATTAGCACTAACGCTAGTAGGAATTTTCACGTTCTCTAGCGCATAATGTTTTATGTAGAGTTTTTGTTATCCTTTAATGGGTTAAAAATATCTTCCAAGAGTTTATATCATGAATGAATGTTGAATGATATCTAAAGATTTTTTGGTATTTCTTGAGATGATCATATGATTTTTCTCTTCTTAATCTGTTAACATGATGATTTATATTAAGTCACACTTGTTTTCTTGGTATAAACTCAACTTGCTTATAAATTGGTACGATTTCATTTTGTTTTGTTTAGCACTTTTGCATCTATATGTATGTGAAAAAGACTGACCTATAATTTCTCCTTTCTCATACTTCTCTTTTATGAAAAGTAGATGTAGTTTGTAGAATACTTTTTGAGTGTTCATTCTTCTAGTTTCTAGAATCATATGAATGAAATCTGTTTCATAAAAGCTTCTTGGAATTTACCTGTAAGGCCACCAGGGCCTATTAGTCTGTTTGAAAATTTTTTAAAAACTGCTAGTTAAATTTTTTTCCTACTGGTTAATTTTTAATAGTTATATGACTGTTCACGTTTACTATGTCTTGAAACAGTTCTGGTAAGTTATATTTTTCTTTTTTTTTTTGTTTTGTCTTTTGTCTTTTTCCGTGTCCGGCAACGGATCGCAACCCTCAGTGTTGCCCCCGCACCGGACGGGGGACCGGCAACGGGATTGCAACCCTCGGCG